TATATATATATATATATATATATATATATGTTTATTCAATCAGGACAATCGATCAGTACATAGCGTCTGTGAATCCCTGATCGCTTTTTTACCCCCGTGCTTACCGATGACCACCAACCATTTTAGTTATTTCTAGGAATAGAGCGCCTAGAAATTTTGGATGGCATCTGAAGCTGTGTGTGGGTTTCTGTGGGCCATTAGTCTTGGTTACATGTATATGGGCGTTTGACGCCTACATTCGACTGATTTATTGATGCACGTTTTACAGTCTCTCGTTGTGTGAGATGCCATGTTTTCACTGGACCACTTTAACCAGTGGACTAAGTTGCTTGATGAATAGCATCCTTTGTGAAATTGATATTATAGTGTTTTGTGGGTTTCCACCTCTTTTGAAGCAGTACAACACAACTCCAAACCTCCCAACAACTTATGTTGCGGTTGTCTTAAGCAAAGACCCAACAGTTCCTGCAAAAATGTTCGTTTTCACGCCGGATTCCTACACGTTACAATTTTGAAGGTCTTAGCGTGTGTTCATCTGGATTGATCCTGAAATTCATCAACCTAATCGAAAACTACCCAAGAATACCGTTACTCTTCACAAGGGCTGTTTTGACATCAACAAAAGGCATTCTCTGATAAACGCACTAGTAAAAGTACACTGGCAGACGTGTGCAATACCTGATCTCAGTTTCGTGCAGGTACCTTGCGTCTTAGTTGTCACAACTCTATGGAGCGCCAACTGTTTATCTGTCTGTCATAGGTTAGCCATCAGCTGAATGCATTTTTTATCTCATCCACGTGGTATCCCTTCCAAATATACGAACACCCAAGACTAACGAATCCGCTCATAGTTTTTAAAGACATTGATTTTGAAGTCGCGGATTAGAAAGCTTTGCTGTTTTGCGCAAGTGTGCTCAGTTCAGCTTCACTTGTCTGATGGCTGGAATCAGTGTTGTTGTAGATGTATCCCTTATTGGGACTGGTCCCTATATTGTCCAGATACAGAGACTACGTCTAGTTTGATCTGCTAGAAAGAATAACGGTGTTCCATAAGTGTTGCAGCGGAAGCGTGAGTACCGTAGGCAAAAAGCAGCCACTGACGGTAAGGTAACCGGCTAGCACATAATCAGCTGATTGACTGATGGGCGGCATCAGCGTGCATATAGTTGCATTCAAGTGGTTACCGTCTTCCGCAAAATTATAATTCGGCTTTCACATGCACATAGTTTGGCGGTGTTCATAGGCTGATAGCGATAATCTCTTTTGTCATAGTGAGGAGTTTGACCAAGAATGATTCCCCAAGTATTATGTAGTACATCCAGACTTGTACATGAGAAACAAGCAGTCATTTCAGTCATGGTGCATATCTACCATAAAGCCTTCACGGCACAATACCCGATATACTACCGAGTTATTTAGCCGTAGGCAAAAGTAGCTGAGTGTTCAGCGTAGACACAGATGACCCTTAGCCTAAGTCTGACCCCGCCACCAGGTCAAGCTCATGCTCACCCGTCACCTCGATAGCCTTTCATTCTCGCACGTGTGACTGATATGCAATCAAAAGGCTATCTCTTACTGCCCATAATAATTCAGTTTTTATCCTCATGAATCTTTGTGGGTTTCCACATCTGGTTATCTGTTGATAAGCCGAATTTTTGGATTTCACATGTCACTCGATAAGTTAACAACAATCCAAGTAAGTCTAAGTTAACAGTTGATTGACTGCTAATCGATGACCAAGAATATTACCAGTTCGATAGTTTCTCTTGAGATGTAACTCCGTTCAAACCAAGGTTACCTCTGTCCAGAAAGGTAAGGTGCGGCTATTTCGTTGTGCAATGAAATGGACGAGAGCACTGCGTTCGCTCAGATGGATTTGCCCTTACGGAATTCAGCTGACTGCATGACAGGCGTTTCAGTAGCCGTCTAAACCTCACAAACTCTCAGAATGTTTCACCATAACAATGATTCTGTGCATTGAGCATGGGCTTGTGAATGAATGGAAGTGCAACACCGTGATTCCTTAATTTTTTGGTTATTTTGGTTCATTTCGCTAGTGGTTAGACTCTCGCCAATAGACTCTCCCGTTGCAAGTAAATTCCCGAAAAGCCTGGCTAATTTCGTATAAAACAGCCCATCCGACTTTTTATGTGCCGGACGAAACTCAGGCCAAAAGGACCCTAACGGTTGCAAAGTTTCTGCAAATCTGACACTTTCTTCAGATGATTCGCTGATAAACTTATGCATAAAATACTAACTCTCAAGCCACTTGGTCAATTCGGTCCGCCCGATCTACTCGTCATTTATACCGACGGTTACTTTTGCTGTGGTTTGGTGCTTGGTGTAGCATCTAGTAGGCTGTACGTTCGTCCGTCATTGTTACTGGTTTCCTTCATTCGCCGTTGGTTTTCTAATCTAGCGTGGCTGGTGAACAACCTGGTGCGGTTACCGTAAACGCATGTGCTCCTAACAGCTCTTCTACTAAGCTCACAGGGGTGAGCTCGTCTTTCAGTTCCCTGCTAACACGTGCTAGCAGCCCGCCCACCAGCCGACGCTCCTCACTCCGCATGCTGCTCCATGCTTCCTCCGGTGATTCTCCTCGAGCCTTGGATCCAAATATTCCACTTCAGCGGATAAAAACTCCGCCACGCTACGCCTCCCGCGCTGTTATCAACGATACGTACATGCGGCGAATATGTAGAGATAGTGTGGAGAAATACAAGCGAACCGCTAGTGAAATTTACAGAGCTAATGTGGAACGAATGGCAGCTAAACATGGCAAGTCGTCTGCCATTGAATTTATTGATTCCAAAATGGATAAACGCATGGAAACCTCTGCCGCAGATAGTATAGAACCAGGAGAGGTTCGCCTAACGCGTGATGAACCGGACAAAGTACTCGGACGTACCCAGTCAGCTTCTCCACTTGATTCAATTTCCTCTTCATCCTCGTCATCCCTGGAGTTGATTGGGATCGATCAAACGGCAGTTGATGCTACGAAGTCGACGGAACCCAAGCTATGTCCGGTTGACGAGGAGATCAGACAGAACAGTGGCGACGTGGATAGTGGTTTGGGTGGATCGGACGATACCGGTCAGTCAGAACAGACTCATACCGGCCTCCCTTCGAAGCAACGTGCCACCACTCCCTACGTATCTGCAACTACTGTCCTGGTAGATGAGGGACACGGCACCGATGCCAGCTTGAGCAATGCCTCTGGTGAGTTCCTTTGTCCAGTAATTTTGTATGGTTGCCGTGGTTTCTCGTTTGGTCTTTTAGATACCCTCATGTAACGCTCACGAACAATGAAAACATTGTTCTCATGTAAAGACGTCCCATTACCGCTCGTAAAGAAAATTAGATTTGCCCCCATACCATCATCATCGTCATAGTTTACAGCAATACACCAGTCCTACATACCGCTTAGTTGTATAACTACCATGAAAGCAAGATGGATGAAAGCCTCAGTAAATAATGGAAAGGAAAAAGGAAGTGTAGGGACTTAGTTCGAAAAAGCCTTGAAGACTACGGTGCATACACATGCTGAGCATCATGTCGAACTAAGGCATCATCGGCTGAACCAACCCAGCGTCTTTTGGGAACTCCACCCGACCCAGGCTTAGCGTACAGGTGAACTTCAGCTAGGCGATTCGGTTAGGAAATGACAGCATGCGTGCCACGGAGATCGGTTGAGCGTCATGTCATGCACGAGTTCTAACCAACTGCAGGATCACGGTCCCAGCCAGAAAGGCGTGAAGCCCTACAACCGCCGCTTTTATTTCACGCTATCGTGTCAAGATTTATCCCCCAGGCCAGCAATGACCTGCAACAGGAAACAACGCTTTTTCGGTAGACGGTAGTTGGGTATATGTAGCACATGCCCCAACCACTGCAATCTCCTGCTCTAACGAATCAGACTTATTATCACGTCCCCGCTCACGTACCACTTCATTACGGACCCGCTATAGCCAGCTTACTCTTGCTATGCCACGAGGACACCAGTAATCATGCACTTTAAGGCCTCATGTTTCTCGGATCGGAGGAGCCAAGTCTCACAATCAAAACTGCAAGGCTGCTCTTATGGCTACCTTGTACACACGGCCCTTTAGCTTCAAAAAATTGTGTGAACGCTGCTCTCATCTTAACATTGACTTGTATTGTTGTATTTTACTCAGGGCTTATGCAGCATGCAAGATGTGGCACAATCAACAAACTTGAACTCTGAAGTTTCAGCGAAGCACAAGGGGACGCAAAATCTTGAACTAACACCGTACACTGAGGGTGCAAAACGCAAATCGAGACATAGGGTTACCTCCAATATTTTGGTTGGCATGGTTATAATCGTCTGAATAATCCAAATCCATTAATCCCTCTTCTGGCGTGATTTCATCAGCTAGACTCACGTTCCATTGAAGTGTGCACTCCGTGATAACGTTGGTGACAAAATTGAACAAAAAATGGACGAAGGACAACCCTGATGAACTCCACTAGTCATCAGAAAGCTTTTGCACCGTTCGCTGTACACCTAACTCGACAAGACATATGAGAATAAAGGGCACGAACTTCAAGGTTAACCCCTTCTGACCCTTGGGAGGAACTTAATTTATCTGTAGAATCGACAGCTCCCCTAAAGTCTAGAAAACCACAATTGTCGTTTTTGCGGTATACTCAGCGCTGCTCAAGCACCTGATGTAATCTATGTATACATAATACATGCTATATTAATATAAAGATATGGTCTAATTCACTGTCAGGCCGAAATCCTGCTTAATGCTTTCGGACTTGTGTATCACCTGTCGAAGATGTGTTGCAATATAGGGGAAGCCAGTAGCCATTTGTGGTAGCCGTGCGAAGTATAGCCCTGTGGTTGGGGCAGTAGGTTCGTGTATCTTCATTGAACACAGGTACGGACAGCGGTTGGCCCCGATTCTCTGAAACATGTTCTTGTTCTTCTTGCACGAACAGTCTAGTTAAAGCGGAATACAAGGGCTCTCCTCCACCGTTGACCAACACTACAGGAAGCTCATCTGGTCCAGTGGCCCAAATGGAGCTTCAATTTCAAAAAGGGCATATTAGTGCTTCATCTGAGTCGATCTAAACTCGCTTACTACGGCTCAGAATGAGCACGTCGGCGAAGTAACTGGGTAGAGAGACAGGGTGCCAACTGAACTGCTGTTGAAAATATTCCGCCTAGCTGTCTGGACGCTGGTCTTTAGTACACGTTAGGTTTGATCACCTCACATATAGATGGTCTGTCTGGTCCTATCTTGCGGATTGGTTTCTTACATTTTTTGAACTCTGTGGTTCCACCGCGAATCCCACCACACACAGACTACGTTCGGACTGTCCTCCTAATTGGTCGTCCAGTCCTACTGTACAGCGCATTGCATCAAGAAGCGGTAATGAGCGCTCTGAGATTCAGTGGCATCCGTTCATGCACTGGAAGTTACATGTAACCGTGGTTATCTTATATCATTTACGAAGGCCGCTTGCAGTGCATTGCATAGTAGACTCTCCTAACTTGTGGGTCACAAAGGTCATCTGCTGATAAGTGGAAAGCTCGTTTCTGGGGTTTACGGGGAAAGTTTTATGAAAATCTGCACCGAAGAAGGACATAATCCGAATCAATATGTTTCTTAGAGCGATCGGCAATCAAGGACGGAACCTTGGCAGCGATCCTGGTGGCAGTGTGGTCAATATAACTCAGTGATAGTGGACACCTATGCCTTTATCGCTTCTAAATAACCCACTGCTGAGAAGTAACTGGTGATCTGTACAAAGTTCCGAAAGACATTCATCATTATCGTCGTGTTTTGCGTTGAGACTAAACACACTACCAAAGCGCGCTTATGATGAACTTGTGCGCTGAAATCTCCCACCATTCTGGCTACATCCGAGATCTTCGTGGTGGACAAGAGGGCGGTCAGTTCTCGGTAGAAGGTGTCTTTCAATGCATAGAAGCCACAGCTCAATGATGTATACATGGACAAAAAGAAAATAGAGCGCTCGATAATTCGATGTGTGAGGGTTTTTACCGAAGCAAAAAGTTGGGCAGCACACAATCGGTTGTTTACAGGTAGCCAGTTCACCACTGAAGTTCAAACTCTCGAAGCTGGTACTACACCATCACAAGTCGCTGCAGCAGTTGCAGGATCACTCAAAGTTCGCAGTCTATCCAGTCTACATAGAGTGCCGTAAGCTCCGCAGGTGTAGTTGGATCCTGTATTCGAGTTCCAAAGATGCCGTGGATGTTAATCGATACAGTACGTTCAAAAGCAGTTGCCAACTGGTTCTCACTGTAATTGTCGTAATAAAAACAAGAAAACGAGACCCGATGCGCAGCGGTAGATATCACTGGTAGGATACAAATGTGTCAATTGCACAAGTGCCTAACTGAAGTCCCTACAGCCGGTATTTACATAAGAGTGCCCCTTTAGTGGGAGAACGAAGGGTTAAGAGATAACAATGAAGATGAGGGTGTCATCATTTGCATATTTTTGCTTATGCGCCCTGCTGTTTGCAGCGCCTAAAACGACTTGGCTGATGACCACGCGATGGCCGACCTTGCATGAAGGTACTTTTATTTGTAACATTTGTGGTCATGTGTGGGCTGATACTGCCAGGGCACCCAAGCTTCGACTGGAGGACGATCAAGGAACTTACCCAAAATCCTTTGACTCAAAAGCCCGTCCGCTATGCAGTTGTGGTTGGCCACCGTTGTCCCAATTCCCAACCTGGAGGACCAAGAGACTGTTTTTTTCATACCTCTATCAAATGACCAACCTGGTAGGTGACTCTGTGGATGCTGTATGGCAATCCTCCGGTACAGCTCATCGGTTTATTGAGGAACGCAAACCATCGCACCACGATGAAGTCCAGTCTCTTGGCCACCAATGCTTCCACATGAATCTTGAGACCCCGACCTATGTCGTATAGAAAAAGAACAAAGATGTGTTGAAAGGCGTCCTGCCCCTTCAAGTCATACAGTCATAAAGGCTTGGACAGCAATATTTGAAGCAGTGTTGTGAGGTAACGAACACGAAATCGAGGACGGATGGAATAAGCTATCTGTCAACAAACTTCTAGTTCGTGTCACCAGTTGAATAAGCCGGCCTTATCTGTGTAGAATGCGTCGTGTTGTGTGTTCAGCTTTGAGTGTTTGTGTGTACCGAGGGGAGGGGGGGGGTGAGATGGAATATGGTAGGTCCAGCATGCGAACAGAGCGCTTCTGTGAACAAAGATTTCGGCCGTCTTGTTCGGTGCGGCACCGATCTAGGTTGGTTAGCAGGCCCTTTTCGGACAATGCCGAAGCGTTGGCTGAGTACCATGTTGCCTTTTAGGTGTTGCATAGCTGTGCGGGTTATTTTTTCTATTTTCAGAGACCAATCAAGTTGAATTATGTTCTGTTATTCTTTGACAGATGAGCTTCGTCTTGTGTCCGATATATTTTACAGCACAACAGCAAGAAAGAAAGGGTTTCGGAGGCACTTGATCTTTGATATCAAAGGGAAAGCGGCCTTTGCTTCTGAATCAGTTTTCAAATGTTCATAGGGGACAATCTGTTTATACTCGTGTTTCGCTTCTAAACAGAAAACTGGGGTAAACAGATTTTCTTTCAGGTATAATGCCAACGGTCATGGGCTCCCCCTATCCATATGTTGTCTTGTGGAATTTATGGGCGGGGGGTGCTTGTCTCTCGAGACTTCTGTCATAATTGGAACCTTCTGTCCTAATACGTCTCCGAAGTTGTTAGCGTTGATATAGTACCCCGATCATGGTACAAAGAACATTTTAGTGAACCAGTGTGACCCCCGTCGTGATCAACGCCTAAGAAGTAGAAAGTATCGTCAGCTCTTTCCAGATTGAATTTAATGAAGACGTGGTCATTGCTAAACTCTTGTTGGAATCAGTTTATATCAGGTTTACTGATTAAAGCAGTGAAAAGGTTCCCTGCGTTGCAGCAGTAGTGCTGTCTTTTCTGTGGGTGATTTCAGAGTGTTGTTTTCAAGTTTGCTCATACAGACTAACATTGGTTTCAAAGGCGAGTTGATGTCGACCCCTGTCTGGCCGTACATCGTAAGTGCACGTTGACCGTAACCGAAAACTGCTTGTCTCAGTGAGGCTGTACATTTAATTACAGTTTACGCAGCAGGGTGTTGGTAAGTGGTGATGAACGCATGAATAAATCTTTCAGTTCTGGGTCCCCCAACCAAGCTACGCATCCGTACGTATCACAAACATCTTGATATACTTGTCAGCATAGGGGCTTCGAGAATTTGACTAAACTCTGTGATTTTGGGATACGGTGAAATGTCTATATCTATAATAGGTCTCAGTAAACAGTTAGTCACTTTAAGCAAGCCATATCAGCGACGTGTTGCTTAGATGCAGTGTCCCAATCCAAGTGTCCCGGCCATATGTGGTGCTCCAAGCTTCGTGCACCTCTTGGGCCAATCACCGTACGATTTATTATCCCCCATGGAAGCTCCTTCTGTCCTCAATACACACTAAGGAAGGCTTTTTCTGGTATCCCCATGTGTGATTTACAGTGTGCAGTTCAATGGGATTTGTTCGTTGGTTGGTTTGCCAAGTTGTGCGATTTGATTGCAAATGTTTCGCGAATCGCCCAGCTTAACGAACAAATCACCGGTCATAATTATAACCTGAGCTTCCAGTATTTTCTTGAATTCTGAACATTTTGAGTTTCCTGCTTCTCCCTCTGTTGATGAATTGTTATCCCGAAAACTTAATATTTTTTTATGGACCTGTCCGCATTCGGTAACGTGTGTGGTGTCCTTGGGGAAGCATGATCGATCCGTAAGGAGCATGTGGCTTGTGAGTGTGAACAGCTCATCCCAGTAACCATAGTTGTGCTTTTGCTTTCGGTCCAACGAACTTGTAGACAGCTGTTTCGCCTTACCATATAGATGGGCCTTGGAAATCTGCACTGCTTTGTCCTTTCGAATAAACGCAAACAGCTTGATCGAGCAATATCCAAACACGAAGAACAGAATGGGTAGTAAAACGGCGTCATTCGCTCAATAGATTTTTCTCAAACATTTGGTTTTTTGTCAGAGAACCAAAACTTCGCCTCTCAACCCCAGGCATAAGAGGGCGAATCAAGTCTGTACGGATGGGAAAGTAACCTTTGCCTAGTAATTTGTGGTTCATGTTCTATGTGGAATCAGTCCATTTCTCTTCCAAATTAATTTGAGCGACGTTACCCGTAACTAGGAATAAAGTCGTAGCGGGTTGTGAAGTTCCTTTTTTTGTGAACTTATTGTACTCAGACATGCGATGAGCTTTTTGTGTAGGTTACCTCATTAAACCCTTGAATTCGATTACTGTTCTCCTTTTAAACCGATCACGGCAGTACAATACTACTTAAAAAAAGGGCAATGGGGGAGGCCAGTCAATTGCTCCCCGACATTATATCTATGTAGTTATGTTTTGTTACAGGATCTACCCTCGTAGTGTTTTCACGATTCTATATACTCGGAAGTGTTGATGCGAGGTAGCTCAGCGGTTAGAACGCGAATTTACTGACCGGAAGGCCCGTGATTCGCACCCGACCTCTGCCTCTCGACTTCCCCTGTCTATGGTTGGACAACCTGGAAGTATCCCAGCCCTCGTAATTCCTTCGGGTGGCTTGGCAATAGGCACCGAAAGGGTGCTACAGTCGAACGACTTTTTTATTTTCAACTTTTACTTTTAGTCCTAACGGTCTCATCACTTCTGCGGCCAAACAATGCATAAAAATCTACTTCCTATGCGTATTTTAGCCATACAATTTGGTATTAAGTCTCCCACTTCCAATATTCTGATTTACTGACAAGTAGCAAACTGTAGTTACTCTTTATTTTGCGGTATTTCACCCTATTTAGAACCAACAAGCTTTTCTTCTGCCATACTTGACATGTTGCAATAACACGTGACTAATAAAGTGCATGATTGCCACACTGTAGAGCTGACATTCATCGTCGTTCGAAAAATGCCAATTTTTAGGTAAATGATGTGTTCTGACGAATTATTTTCGTACAAAACAAACGAAACAATTATTCACATGATCGCCGGTTGGAGGTCGTTTCACGCTTTTCTTCTTCGCCGTTTTGTGTACGGTTCATTCCGTCGCGATATTTTCCACTTACCGACATCAATGTTCTCTGAAACTGGTTCTTTGTTGCAGTTGGAATGTTTCGACCCTAGACTTAGTCGGCTCACATTCTTTAACAGAATAAAACGCGATCCCTAAGATTGAAATCATTAATACAAGGAGGTAACTGCGTGAGGTGATTTCGTTCACAGACAGAAACTGATTATCTTGTAGAGATTGGTTGTAAACTCGTGCTTCCATCTGTTTTGGATCGTTTTGTTGTTTACTCCCAAGTATTTGTACGTCACTTGTACCCGGTGATTTAATTAGCCACGGCGAATACAATATGAGTCTATACTGAGCTTTTTATCGCGGACTATTGACACTTGATTTGTTCGCACACTCTAGCTTGCTGCTCATTGCTCCTTATTGGGACCTTTCAGTTGTAATCTAAAGGGGGATGTTGCGAAAACACTCGTTTCTCGTTTTCAATTGTGCTCCATAATGCTCAGATCGGATTGGCAACCTAACTTAAACGAGGACTGTCTATTTTCGGAAAAGTTTCGGAACACAAGTTTTGCACACAAGTGACACAGTTTTTAACGTCATTTTATAGGAACATGACCCCGCCGTACATGCTAATATAGCTTTCCATTGACTAACCCAATGTTGTTCCCCTTTGCAGTGGTGGAAAGTTCGCCGAACCGTCTAAAGTCGATCCTTCGGAAATCCTCCTCCTCTAAGCGATCTACCTCAGACACAGCCAGTGTCACAGACGCTGCCGGTGCTCAGTCGCAGCCATCCCTCGGCTCCCAGACTCGATCCAATTCGGTACGATTTCATCCGCTGGCCTTATTACTGGATGCTGCTCTCGAGGGCGACCTCGATTTAGTGAAGGCAGTTGCAGCGGAAGTAAGTTTCGCACGGTGTTTGCTGTCTAATTAGTCCACTCGTGTCTGTCCACACAATGAAAGCCTTACAGCATCCATAGAAATACATTGCAAAGATGATTGTGTTACAGAAGCTCGTTGCTAGGCCATTCTGTTCTATGAGGAATAGTCTAAAAAGACTGCACATTACATTAGTTTCATTGATTCACGCTACTGTTGTGCGAGTCGGCTCTTGGCTTGATTTTTGAGTGTTTTCCAGTAACCAAGCGACGCTAACACTTCTGTGTCCTCTTATGATTTCGAATTACTGCTTTTATTCATGAGTTTTTTTCCTCTCGATGTATGGGAGGAGTGGGCGAGTCTTTTATTTGGATAATCGAAACCCCATGTCACCTCTCACTATTACCCGATAGAGTTCAAATCCTGTGAAACTGCTGCTCATAGCAATACCTTGGTTTTGAACTGCACATTCACGAAGACTCTGTTATGAAACCGGCTTGTTATGTGACCGTCTTGCGAGAGTTAGCATTTCAGATTACTCTGAAGCCTTTATGATCTACATATCTGTCTCCAAGCCTAGATTTTTCTGCACACTCAAACGCCTACTTTTAGTGCTATTCAATCCACTCCTTATGTGCGCCGCTGTTTTGGCAACCAATAGCATTCATGTTCGTTTTTCTGAAGTCATGTTAGTCATGTCCAAAGGAATCCACCAATGACGGTCATCCGCGCGGGTCTGCCTCCTAAAATGCTATCACTGTGGACGCCATTTTCCACAAGGTATTTCCAACTGGTTTCTGTTTTCTCTTTGGTATTGTTAGATAGTTTGTGTATAACAAACTGAAGTCAGTTTCTTTTCATTTCGAAGTTAACAGTCTCAACAGAGATTAACTAATAAGCACACCCAAGACACCCAAGTATCCTCACGTTCGTGAACTTGACTTGGCCTGAACATGAGAGCACCAATAAGCGAAATACACTCATTTGCATAACAATTTGGTTTTGATGAGAGACTCACCTGGAACCCAGCTGAATCCCACGTTTATGATGTTTTTAAGCAACGGAATGTGATACACCAGGCTGCCTCATGTTTCAGTTGATACGACATTCGAGATATTGCGATACGTGTATAGTCGTTATGCACTACTCATGAGGTTGTTGTACCGAAGAATTCAACAACCTTATGAGTAGTGTACGAAAAGCACCAAGTTCCATCTCTATCCTGTGAGCTGAGGTTTCAGCTTTCACCCCCTTAATGGGTGATATAAAGGGGGTGTCGCCAATGTGTTTCCGATCATTTAGAAAAGTCGCTGACAACTTACAGTTCAAGGGAAGTTGTGCAGCCGACCAAGCGGGTTGTTTGGATAACGAGTTGTCCATTGTAGCTCCGCTGCCAGGGTGGCAAAACCACTTTTCACCAGCACTTGTGTATCTTTTGGAAACCACGGGCAACTTGGTGGGCACATACCAATGAAAAGTCGCAACTTACAGTTCAAGGGAAGTTGTGCAGCCGACCAAGCGGGTTGTTTGGATAACGAGTTGTCCATTGTAGCTCCGCTGCCAGGGTGGCAAAACCACTTTTCACCAGCACTTGTGTATCTTTTGGAAACCACGGGCAACTTGGTGGGCACATACCAATTGGCTAATAGCTACTTAGGACGTAGGCCGACCACTTTCCGCCACTCAGTTAGTCTAATTCACCCAACGAAATTGGCATGGAAAATTAATGTCATTTCACATGTTAACCTCAAGGAAAGAATAACGAGCGCTTGTATACCTGTATTCGGATATCCTCGGTCGAACAACGACCGTCTCGTGAATTGCAATAAACACGAGTCCCGCTGTTAATCA